TCATTTTCTTTTCTATCTTTAAATTTTCTATTATTTATCATATTCTCTTACTGTTTTTCAGTATGCTAGTCTTTGTTTTTCCTTCTTTCTTTCACTTCTAATGTTATTCCTTGTTTATTATTCTACCATTTTTTTTTCTTTCTGTCTTTCGTCATGTTATTCTTTGTTTTCTCTTTTTGATTTTCTTATGTTATTATTTGTTTTTTCATGTTTCATGTTCTCTTCTATCTTTCCATTATGTGCTGTACTGTATGCTACAACAGCCATGCTAGCAAAGCACACAAGACCACCCATATTTGAACTTGCAACTCACTCACTATGATTCAAATATTAACAGCTTCTCTGGGATTTAATGTTAATCTGACCTGTCATCATGTAAGCCTAGAAAGACAGAGTTAATCGATGACAAGCAGCATCTCAACACAAGTGCACAGTTTGTCTTGAGATGCTGTGCGGTGGCTTCATGTAATAACAAAACATGAATTGGTTGAGTATCAGACCCCGTTCTCACTCACTTCGTTGGAGCGCTCTGGAGCGCTCTAACTAAGACCCGCTCCTCAGGAGCGGTTCTTAGGTGAGTGAGAACGCTCAAAGTGGTCCAGGAAGCGGACTTCTGGACCGCTCCAGAAGTCCACCTTCCGAGGTGGTCTTGAGGAGCGGGTCTTATTAAGAGCGCGCTCTAACGTGCAATGTGAACGGAAAGCGTACTTTGAACGGAAGTGAGCTGGTGACCTTCGGTGCGAAACATGTAGTACGGTACATACGGTTTGTATTCCGCGCGCGAAAAAATTGACCCGCCTACCTGAGCTGCCATAGCAACAAGACCACTTTGACTCGTGGAGCGGTTTGAGCCATAAAAACTGCTCGGAGTGTGAACGCTCGCAAACCGTTCCTCAAGACCCGTTCCTCTGGAGTGGTCTAACTAAGACCACTTTCAAAGTGAGTGAGAACGGGGTCTCAGTCTATTAATAATAAAACAATTTCACCTGCTTTTAGGGATCACCTGCTCAGTCATGGTGCCGCCCTTGCCCTTCAGTTTGCATCTCATTAACCACACATTTGTTTTAAAAACTCAACATAATTATAGCTTTAGGTGTGATAAACAGTTCAGAGTCACTATATTAGCGTGATTCTATTCATACCAGAGGGGCGTTTTACAAAGATTCTAAGTGGAACTTAACTCTAAGTTGGACTTAAATTTTAGGGAGAGCCATTTGTAGCCTTAAAATGAAATATATTCATAAGCAGACATTCAAGTATTTTAGACTTTTCATAAATTCCACATCAAAAACATGTAATCTCCTTGATAATATAAAATATGAATGATTTGAATCAACATTTAATGCCTTTTAAAATAACTTTTACAAAATGTTTTCAAAGATGCTAACGGCTTTCCACATTTTTTAAGTCCAACTTAGGATCTTTGTGAAACAACCCCCAGATCTCAAGATTCAAGCTGTAATTTAACAAAAGACATGGCTAAATAGTTTTAAAGGCAATCTAACCCTTGTAATAAATCATTTGTATGAAAGCAGAAAAGTAAGATAAATAGAATGGCAAAAGTTTTATATCAATTAGACCAATAATAACAAGAGTTATGAATGTTTTATATCAATTAGACCAATAACAGAGTTATGAATGTTTTATATCAATTAGACCAATAATAACAGAGTTATGAATGTTTTATATCAATTAGACCAATAATAACAGAGTTATGAATGTTTTATATCGCTAAAAAGCTACTTGAATATCAAGTGAGCAATTCTGTCAGTGGGTTGTGTACTTAAGTAGTCATGGACAACTTTCCATTTGCCATGTGCACAAATATTGTTACTTTCTGTTTTTCTCCCAAATGTCTTCTACCTTGGGGCACTACTTGGGGAAAGATATTATGGATAGATCCTGTAAATAGAAAAGACCCTCACACGTCATACATTTATGAAAAAAATATCTGTCAGTTATTTTGTTTGTTGGAGCAAATGGAAAAGTTGTCCAGCACTACATCTTAAAGTTAATTGAGCAGTTGAGCGTTTTTTGTCTCGCCTGCGTAGCAAGAAGCGAGACATAGGTGCCGCTTTTCCAGTGACGGCGGCGGCGTCAACATCAAAAACTTAACCTAAGGTTAAGTTTTTGAATTTTTGATATAATTTTCAAAGTATAAGTTCTTAGTCAATGAAACTTGGACTATAGGGTTATCAAGTATCCCCAATCATGAGAGTAGAATTTCAGGTCACTAAGTTCAGGTCAAAGGTCATTTTAGTTCAACAAACTTAGCCTTTGTTGTGGCATCATTGGACCTTGTGGCAGATTAGCCCTGTGCTAAACAAGTTATCCAATAAAGTCTACTACTACTACTACTACCATCAACATCAAGATTTTGAATTTTTAGCATACACTGTATTGTCAAAATTGTTTGTTCCAATTCCATGAAACTTGTACCCAAGGGTTATCAAGTATCACAAATCATATGACACAAATTCCAGGTCACAAGGTCAAAGGTCACAAGGCCAATGGTCATTTTAGGTCAGTAGACTTGGATTATGTTTTCACAACTTACATTAATATGAGAACTAATAAATCATTTTTAAATTAATTTGTTCATATTCCATTCAAGTTATCAATCGTGGTACAATTATTAGTAAATAATTTTTCTGATGATTCTTAGTCAATATTCACTTCAAAATGCTGATTATATTCAGAGGATTTCATTTTGGGGGGCCTGCTAATGGGCCACCCTGCCTATAAATAATGTTCCAACCTCAATTTTTCATCCTACCGAATTGCGTAATGCAGGCCAGACCGCCGAGAGCGTTTCCCTTGTTTAAATATAGTGTTTCTTCACTTTTTATGCAATCGCATTTGAGTCAAAAATAATGTTTTGATGTACCTAAAATTCTCTCGCGGCACCCTAGAAATGTCTTGCAGCACCCTGGTAGGAAAGCTGATCAAGTGTCAATGGATCTTTGTTTTATAACCATGCCAATTGGAATTTAGAATGAGCCGGATTACTCAAGGATTGTGACATTTTCTTCTTGTTTATGAGTTGGTTGCCTCTTCTGATAGTAACTGTTCTTTTGAATATAGGTTTTTTCTCTTTAGCCACCTGAGCTTAAATTCCAATATTAGACTCTATTTTAGTAATACCCAAGATATTACACTGATGATATCCTGGGAAACTGGATAATGATTGATGAGTTAATATAGACTTACATAATCCAAGTACTGTAGACGACATATAGAAAATATAAATTTAGATAATATCTTTCCATAGGAAAATATTTTTCTCATCAAAACGTGGATGAAATTGCCACATTTTAATGAATTTCAATAGGAATGGAGGTGTAGAGCTCACTTTCATCATGCTTACCCTTGCCTCAATAGGCCTGTTTTCATCATCTCAAGATTGCCAAATAACCTTCTATTTGAACTATCCCGATCACAAATTATCCAGCTAATTTGCATCTTCATGTCGGGATTATCATCCCAAGATATCTTGGACTAGTTTGCAAAAAATCCCGCTATTTGTCCGGTTTTCTCTTCACCAGTCCAAAGACTCGAACGCTGAGCAAATTATCTCGAGCTAATTTCTCGAGCTCGAGTTTTGAGGTCGAGTCTCGAGCTGATGAGGACGCGATTTGTAGCTTCAGGCTTATTTCCCAAATCAGTAATAGCGGTCTATTCGGCAATCTTGAGCTGTCTCCACTAGATCATTATCTTCTCTTCATGTCTTTTTTTTTTGTTTTTGTTTTTGTAATAAAATATATTCCTGCAGATCTGACGATGATGAGAAATTCTCATTTTGTCAAATTGGTGTTTATTTCATAAGCGTTGAAGGTTGGATGGAAAATTCATTTCTTTTGTTACTCTTTTTTCTTTTTGTTATTTACTGTATACTTGGAGAATGATGCTGTTCAACATGACTTTTATCGCATGTCATGTGATTGAGAATTGACCAATGAGGTTGCAAGAATCTTAGTACATGTACATGTAGGTGTTGTATGATTTACATTGTGCATGTATGTAGAGGAAATGTTCTTTGCAGCGAGTAGAGAGCTTGTATTGCAGACAGGCTGTTGACAAAACAGTCCACTTAATCCACTTTGATATATGGCTATGGAGCTCTGTTGTCATAGTTACTTGACACTGTCCAACTACTGACGTTCAGCATCTATTCACCTCTCGGGCAGTCACTTACCCCAGTTGCTATGGATACTGTATAGGAGGAGGGACTTTCCCTTCTAGATGTTTGTTGTATGCTTCATGTAAACACATGGACAAAACTAGTACCGTAGACTATAAACAAGGGGTACAATAATCTTAGTCTTGAGCTGGAAAGGAGATAAAGTACTATGATAGTAAGATGTAATTGTTTTAATGTGTTTTTATTGTTTTAAAGAAAATTGATTAAAACAATTAATAACATAAGATAAAATATGAAAGAAGTTTGGTCTTATGAATTTTTTTCTTCAGGACTATTTCACAGGCCATCAGTATTCAATAAGTAAACTGTTTTATTTCTGAACAAAATCAGACATACATGTACGATATGAATGTCGAGAATTTGTTAAAGTTGTGATTACTACCATATTAAAGGTAATTTCAAATTGGCCAAATAGGTAATAATATCACTGTGGTGTTGTGGTGGACAACCCTCCCATTTGTTCCAACACACAATATTACTAAAATTTATTTTTCAACATGTGTGACTCAGGGGGGTCTTTGGTTTTTAGAGGACGTATAATAATAATAGTAGAGGTTCGAGTCCCGCTGCAGCACTAATGTCCTTTGGCAAGACGTTAATCTACATTTGTCACTCTCCACCCAGGTGTTAAATGGATAACCGGTAGGATGCAAAAGTTAATGTGGATGAGCAAGTGTGCTCGTGTAAAATGGCGACTGGTTGGAATGCTCCCCAGGGAATGGAGAATGTGCATACATTGTGTGGGGGTAAGCTTGAATCCGATTAGACACGCTTAGACACATTGTTGTATTGATGTATTGGGAGCTATATAAAAGCAGAATATTATTATTATATTAATATGCTTATCCATGGGAAAAGGCACTTGGGAGATGAATAAAATTAATTATATTTGTGTACATAATAAACAGGAAAGTTGTTATTTTGTCATATCCTTCTCTCTCCTCTCCACTTTCCTAAAACTGTTTGCATGTACAATGTATTATGGAATTGCTATGTAATATCTGATTGTTATACTCATCGTATGTTTTTCACTTGGTCAAATAAATAATAATATATAATTAAAACATGCTTTCTGTCTTATTTTACTTGCAGCATATACATGAGGCCCATCTTGCTTGATGGTCTGGTTGCCATGGAGACTGAGCAACATGCCGGTGTAGCATCATCGATGAGTAACATGGAGCAGCTGAACTTGGTCATTCCTGAAGACCTGCCATCCCCCTTGTATTCACTGGAGGACATCCCAGATGTAGACCTCACCTTCCCAGGTATTAAAAGTGCTGCTCACATCTTGGGGACCGTGTTTTACAAAGATCCTAAGTCAAACTTAACTCTAAGTTGGACTTAAACATTATGGAGAGCCATTAGTAGCCTTTAATAAAATAAAAAATATCTAAAAGCTAAAATTCAAGTATTTTAGACTTTTCATAAATTCTACATCAAGAACATTAAATTTCCTTGATAATAGAAAATATTAATGATTTGAATCAACATTGTATGCCTTTTAAAATATCGTTTACAAAATATTTTCAAAGATGCTAACGGCTTTCCATAATTTTTAAGTCCAACTTAGAGACAAGTTCAACGTAAGATCTTTGTGGAACACCCTCCTGATCGATAATCATTTCAAAGTGTAACAATCACGTGGGAAACAAATAATTACCTTGCAATCTAGAGGTCAACAGTCAAGGAGTATGAAGAAAATATAACATTTTCTTAGGCCTGAGTTGATATGGTTGCCCACCCTGGTCTACAACCCAGGCCTCGAATTACGTCAAATTTGGGTCAAGGCCACTTTTTTGAGAGGGCACAAATCCACTGAAAGGGGCACAAATCTATATCCTAAGGGGCACTAAGGCCAAAGTGGAAATTGTGCGTAAAATCACCTCATGCTGTTTTAATGGGGGGGGGGGGGGGGGGGGGTTGCAATTTGCACCCCCCCCCCCCCAAATAAAAAAAAATTTGCTCACTAGCCCCCCCCCCCCCCCCCCCCCCAACTGAGCGAAATATCGGCCGGGCGCGATTTTCAAATTTTCAGGAGCAAAAATAAATTGTGCTCGCTACCCCCTCCCCCTTAATTAACAGGCAGGCTGTTTCGCTGCTAAATATTCTCCCACTGGGCCCCCTCTTTGGTCCCCTCCCCTGCCGCCGGCTGGATCCGCCCGTGGGGTGGGTGGAGGGAGTGGGGAGTTTCCCCTATGACGTTTCATTGAATTATTAGAGAAAGAAGACAATTCGTTGACCGTTCTTGACTCGTTTTATCCGTTTATCCTTTTCTGAATACCACGGGAAGCGTGGAAGCTTAGATGTTTTTAATAAATTATTAGAGAAAGAAGACGATTCGATACCGTTCTCGACTCTATCCTTTCCTGAATTCCACGGGAAGCGCGGAAGCTTGTATTTTTAAAATAAATTATTAGATACAGAAGACGATTCGTTGTACCGTTCTCAACGATTAATCCTTTTTTGAAATCAATTCCCACCCCTTCCGCAAGCTATGACGTTTTAATTAAAACGTATGTGAAAGAAGACGATTCGATGTACCATTATCTGAACTCTTAATTGTTTTCTGATTTAATTCCAGACCCTCCTCCCGAGGAAAATTCAAGTTTTTCACTGATTAAAAACTCTGAAAACGCACCAAAAAAGGTCACAACGCGAAGTAAAGATGTTGAACCAACGATAGGTAAACAAAACTTCCCGATATTGATTGGTCCAAGTAAAAAGGGTGGAGATGGATTGAAAAACTAAGCCCGAGTCATTACGGTTTTTGTGCCAAACGTTTCAGTCATTTCGATGAAGATATGCTTTCATATCTCCGTATCGGCAATGAAGTCTTGCCGATAATTATTGTTTTAAGATTTCCGTAGGGGCAACAAAGTCTTGCCGATAATTATTGTTTTAGAGCTCCGTATGGGCAACAAAACCTGGCCGATTATTATCATTTTTAGAGCTCCGTAGGTGCAACAAAACCTTGTCGATAATTATTGTTTTTAGATCTCCATAGGGGCAACAAAACCTTGCCGATTATTATCATTTTTAGAGCTCCGTAGGGGCAACAAAACCTTGCCGATAATTATTGTTTTTAGATCTCCATAGGGGCAACAAAACCTTGCCGATTATTATTGTTTTTAGAGCTCCGTAGGGGCAACAAAACCTTGTCGATAATTATTGTTTTTAGATCTCCGTAGGGGCAACAAAACCTTGCCGATTATTATTTTTTTTAGAGCTCCGTAGGGGCAACAAAACCTTGCCGATAATTATTGTTTTTAGATCTCTGTAGGGGCAACAAAACCTTGCCGATTATTATTGATTTTAGAGCTCCGTAGAAGCAACAAGACCTTGCCGATCATAAATGTTTTTAGAGCTCCGTAGGGGCAACAAAACCTTGCCGATTATTATCGTTTTTCGAGCTCCGTAGGTGCAACAAAATCCTGCCGATTATTATCATTTTTCGAGCTCCGTAGGGGCAACAAAACCTTGCCGATTATTACCATTTTAAGATCTCCGTAGGGACAACAAAACCCTGCCATTTATTATCGTTTTTAGAGCTCCGTAGGGGCAACAAAACCTTGCCGATTGATAATGTTTTTAGATCTCAGTTGGGGCAACGAAGTCTTTTTGAACATTACAAGTCGGGGTTGACTTATGATGACTATAATGTCGGCAAAACTTTTGTGGATTTAAATATTGTGGCCGTAAGCGGTTTGATTTTGAAAAGGGCATTCCGGCCAGTGAGAGGGGCATGGCGGCAAATTGCAGATTGCCGGTGGGTAATTCGAGCCCTGACAACCACCTCGCTCAATTTGGGGTTTGACTTTTAGATGTTGGGAATTTCACAATTTGATTTTACACTGATATTTTGCAATACCTTTGTACAAGTACATGCAAACAAAGGTCTAAAGCGATATTATACAAATAATGCCATTTATTATCGTTTTTAGAGCTCCGTAGGGGCAACAAAACCTTGCCAATTGATAATGTTTTTAGATCTCAGTTGGGGCAACGAAATCTTTTTGAACATTACAAGTCGGGGTTGACTTATGATGACTATAATGTCGGCAAAACTTTTGTGGATTTAAATATTGTGGCCGTAAGCGGTTTGATTTTGAAAAGGGCATTCCGGCCAGTGAGAGGGGCATGGCGGCAAATTGCAGATTGCCGGTGGGTAATTCGAGCCCTGACAACCACCTCGCTCAATTTGGGGTTTGACTTTTAGATGTAGGGAATTTCACAATTTGATTTTACACTGATATTTTGCAATACCTTTGTACAAGTACATGCAAACAAAGGTCTAAAGCGATATTATACAAATAATGCACTGATCCCTCCCTCTCTCTCTTGTTTTCATCAAATTATTTCCTAATATATTTCTTATTATATCTCATTATCCCTCTGCTCTCTCTTTCTGTCTCTGTCTGTCTGTCTCTCTCTCTCTCTCTCTCTCTCTCTCTCTCTCTCACACACACACACATCCTTTCTTTCTCTCTCTCTCTCTCTTTCTTTCACACATATGCACACACACACATATCCTATTTAGTTCAAGAATCTGTCCTTATGTCTCATTTCCTTGCCAAAAATGATGACATACAATTGAATTTAATTGAATCAAGGTTTATTAAAAAAACATGTGTCGCAGCCCAATGGCTGAATTGATCATGTGTACAAACAAAACACTCATTGCATATTACAAACATAAAATACAGTTACAATTGGTTTGTCAATATTGAAATACATGTATATATATAGTTAATTTGATAAGATTGCTTGGGCAGTAAAAATAAGAAAACAGAATATAACTTGAAGTCAGGAAAACGAGGAGGAGAAACATGAAGAAAAAAGTATAAGAGGAAGTTGTAGAAAATGCATGTACATCAAAAAATATAAATAAACAAGAGGACTATAGTATAAATAACATATGAAAGAATTTTTTTTTTTAAGTTCTGGGGGGGGGGAGGAAAAATAAAAGTCTACAATAAAGAACAGATTGAAACAACATTAGATGAGGAAAATAAATCAGAATTTTGTATCAAACAAAACTATGACTTGATGATCAGGCCGGCAGTATGAACAGTTTGATTCTTCACTGAAATAAAACTTGAACATTCTTCTTCCTAAAGTACTTCCTATGATTCAAAGTTACTTTTATTACAATGATGTCAAACGTAGTTTAAGAATGACTGAAGTACTCCATATCTATGTAAAACTTGATCATGCGCCAACAAAAACTGAGTGAGTGGCTTCCCCCGATACGCACTATTGGGATGCTACTTCTCACGCAAGGGCAAGGACTATCACATTCAACATGTTGGCCAAATATCTAGTGGATGTGTTACATTACTGGAAGACTGGTCACAGTCCCTTGAGACTTAGTCTAATCTTATCAATTTACAATCAAATCTAGGCCCATTTACACATCCCAAACATTTTGAAAATCCTTGATTGTTTGGACTACCATGCACTACTGGCAAAAACATAACAGTTTGCTCATACCAACCCTTTTTTGTTTAAAGGAATAGTGCACATGCGCCACTTGGCGGTGCCCTGTATTTGTTAACATTGAAGCAAGGAAAGTCGCAAGAGCAAAAAATCAGTGAAACTTCAGCAAGCGTTTAAAAAAAAAACGCAATCCATAGCAACTACTTGCAAAACACCGGATGTGAGAAAAATCAATGATATGGGGTTGCAGTGTAATACACCTTCTGTTTAGTGCTTTTTTTTTTTTAGATGTTTAGTGCACGTAAGAGAAATCATAAACAAATATGAGAGTGTCCCATATATAATATGCTTCTTTGTTGTGTATTTTGTTTTATGATACAGGTTCATGACAAGCATTCTTTCTTACAATCAGCTCCAATCTACAGTGGAGGGGGGAAATAATTAAGCTTGGGAAAGCTCTGAGGGGAGCGAGTCAACCCTCAGATTAAGTCTTGCTTTCATATCAATAGACCAAGGCCAAAAAAGAGGACTGGGTCAATTCAATTTTTAGAACAAAAATCTAATGAAGTTTAAAAAAAAAAAATGCATTTTGAATTTGTAAGAACACAATTGGGAACTGTCTGGAAAATGGTCATGCGACAAGTGTAGAATGATTAATGAATGAGTGGGCTGTTTGTAAACAAGACGATGGATAAGTTAGATTGTATGTGGGAAGATGTAATCCCTTTTTACATTTTTGAAAGGGTATTCCTATCAAAACAACAAAGTACAGGTGTAACTAGAATATTCAAATCATCTGCCTGGAGTTGAAACCATAGTGTTTGTATTAGACATAACAAATGAAATAGCAGAATTAAAAGTCAGATTTTTTTCTTCTGATATGTACAATGATGATACATGTGCTGCATCATGAAATAGCCTAATAAGAAATTAAGTGTGCAGGTGTGTGAACCATTCTAATACATTGTGCTATATCTATATCAATATCATTTCAAATTGATTGCATAACCAATATGTTTTCAAATTTGGCTCTTAGAACAAAGTATTATAGTTTTCTCTCTCTTACATGCGTATAAATGATGGCACTTACAGTACAGTATGTATAGGCAGAAAAATATCTTGACTAACGTTTGGAATGTTGTAAGTACTTAGATGTGATTTTTTTTTCTTCCATTGAGAGTGCTATATAGCAAAAGACATTTAAAAAAAGATGAAGTGAATTAAGAATTACACACAATGTATATATTTTGTATACCATGCCGCCCCTAGCCCCCCCCCCCCCTTCAGTTATTGTGATAGAAAATGATGCTACATTGCATTCAAACAGCTACCTCTATGAGTCTATTGTGGGTATTGTTAGGTGCTGAGAATCAGTGTATGGGAAAAACATTAGGGCTCTTTAGTACCGGTAAGTGTTGGGGGGGGGGGAGGGGTCATCACCCAGGCAACGTAAAGGAAAGTGCTTTTGTTGCCATTTTGAACTCTTGATGTTTCTGTTTATGAATGGATTGCCTAAACAATCACTTGAAGTAATAGTTTGATCTAGTAATTTTCCTGAGATGCCTGCAGAGCAAGAAAGGCAGAACCAGATATGAGGTGATTAATTAGTAAATATGGGTATGAAGGTGGTGATTGTTTAGCCTTTGTAGTAATTAATAATTTAGTCGCCACCTGGGCTTGACAGGTTACAGAACTGTTGTGAGACCAGTCAGCCATTGGGTTTGAGCTTGAAACATCTTTCCATTTTGATGTATATTCAACAGTGAGCTACTCCAATATTCTAAAAATAGAGTGGGCCTAATATTTGTAACTTTGCCTGCCATGGGCTATGTAGAATGCCAGGAATGGTGAAGTATACATGTACATGTACATGTAGTTTGGAGTTTGATGTGCAGGAAGTTTGCCCCTTATTCAGATGACCAATGCCTCTGAATAGTCCCATTGCTAAGAGTAAGAGTTTGTGTCATCTTCATTTTTACTATTCCCATAAATCATTGATATCATCAATATCCTTGAGGTATATGATATCCGGTAGGGTGAGGAGACCGATTATATTAGCATGTTTTTCCATTGGATATCAACTTGAGAATACTGAATAGCTAACATGCCAAATGATTCTCACTTTATTAGTAATGCCAAGGGGCGAGGGGGAGAGAGAGATAGAGAGATATCTATAGAGGGAGAGAAAACGAGGGAGGGGATATAGAGAAGGAGGGGTGTAGAGGGAGAGAGAGAGAGAGAGAGAGAGAGAAAGAGAGGGAGGAATGGAATAGAGGGAGAAAGAGAGGGAGGGGATATAGAGAGGGAGGGGAGTAGAGAGGGAGGGGAGTAGAGAGAGAGAGAGAGAGAGAGAAGGAGGTAGAAGGAGAGAGAGATGGGATATGACAATTCCTGCAATATTTGGTAGAACAATGACAAACTGTTTGACTTTCTAACAGGCAACCATCGAAACAATCATATATGCTCCCCCCCCCCTTTTTTTTCCGGGGGGGGGGGGGGGGGGGGTCAATTTCTTTTGTATACCTTGTGATATACTCTATTCCCGGCTTACACATGTACCCTTTTATGAAGAGACAATTGTATCCATCCTCATATTCAACATACAGCGTGAGATGAAATAACCTAAAAGCCAATGAACTCTCTGTCTTGCACTATTATCATTTCAGCGAAAGATTGCAAAAATAGTTTTGATACTCTTTATCTTGTGTTAGCACCATTTCAGATTAATAAAGTCTGTTTTGACTGTGACAACCAATTTAACTCTCTGTCTCGTTTTAACATCATTTCAGAGAAAGATTGCAGGAATAGTTTTGATAATCTTTATCTTGTGTTAAAACCATTTCAGATTAATAAAGACTGTTTTGTGACAACCAATGTACCTTTTTTTGTAACTCTCTGTCTTGGGTAAACATCATTTTTTATGAAGCAGGCTGCATCCTTGGTTTTGACTGATTTTACTCTCTATTTTGTGTTAACATGATCATTTTGGATGAAGGCAGTGCTGCTTGATATGACCTACTTTCTCTTTCATATCAGATGAAAACTGTATCAATAGTTTCATCCTTCTTTTATTTAACTCTTACTGTCCCAAGGGGTTTTTCTTCTTTCCAGATTTACCTACAGTGTACATGTAACATAAACAATGCTTTCTTTTCAAATACCTGCATATCATTAACCATGTATTGGTACATGTTGTGTACAAAAGTTGTAGGAAGTTTATTAATACCCTTCAGATGATAAACAGTATTGTGACATACAGTGTGTTTCTGGGGTCATTTATGTCTGAGTTCTTCATTTCTTTACTAAATTGTTTAACATTAAAGGGTCCTTAAAAAGTTCAATTTCCTCCATAGATACATGAAGCATATATATAGCTTTCAACTATTAGTTTTAAAGAAGTTTGCCCATTGATATGCAATTTATCACCACATACATGTAAATATTTCTGAATGGAGCAATACCCCGGTATGTGATTGAAAATATCCATTGTATTTGTCACATGAGTATAGAAAGAGTTAATTCTAATCATTCTGTATCTTGTTTAACCTGATTTTAGATGAAAGCTGTATTGATAGTTTCACTGATCCGTCCAACTCCCTTGGTGAGAGTATGAGAGTAGGAGGAGGAGGCTGTACTGCTGATGGTGTATGTCTACCCTGTAAGGTCTGTGGTGATAAATCATCAGGATTTCACTATGGTGTCATGGCATGCGAGGGATGCAAGGTAATACATTCATGCGCTCATCAAAAAAGGCTGAATCTGAATTTTTAGCAATTTTTAAAATTTTATATTTAATCAAAGGATCTAGAAATATAATGTAGAGAAGTTATATAACAAAAATGCAAAAGAGTCTAATGCTCTAGATGGTGTATTGACCAAAATATTTTGTGTAGAAAGTAGTAGGCTGGAGTGCAATCATCTCATACTATTTTGACAGTTTTGATGGAATATGAACTAAGTAGGTAGTGCTGATTCAACATCATATCCCCTTTCCTACTGTGGTTTTATCAGGTATAAGTATAGAGTTCATATGTTACAATAGTTTGTCTGAACTAGGCATTTGGTACTCATCTTGAACTTTTATCACATACCCCTTTTGTACTTTTATGTTCCATTGAATTTAATGTAATTGAAATTCTCATCATCAGTACAATGTGATTAACATATGATCAGTACTGTGAATAATACAGAAAATACATGCAGTAGGAGGTGAAAACCAAGAAAGCAAGGGTTTTGTTGGTAATTCCCATTAAAAGTACAGACAAATTACCATGGAAACATCATTATACATGTATATAAATATATTTCTTGCATCTGAATAAGGAACTGATTGTGGAAAAGGAAATACAGTAGATGGAGAAAAACTGAGAAGAACACTAGGCATTGCTGTATAAGTTAATGTGAATTACATATTATGTAAATTGTGTACTGTATTATCATTTTGAGATTTCTGTACCAAGAGGTATCTGTGATGAAAACAAATTTAAGTATACAGTGTACATGTACTAGAACAGACAGCACTACAATAGGCAGTACCGGTATACATCTTATCGAAAACCAGATGACAAAATTATCCTGAGGAGTACAATAGAGTGTGTCTGATTTTCTCAATGTTAGGGTTTCTTTCGGAGAAGTATTCAGAAGAAGATGGAGTACAAATGTCACTTTTCAGGCAACTGTCCCATTGAGAGGGTTAATCGCAATCGATGTCAGCATTGCCGATTCAGAAAGTGTCTTGCAGTAGGAATGTCCAAAGAATGTGAGTATATATTTATCAGCCAAGAGGCCTGTCCTCATCAGCTCCAGATTGCCAAATAACCTGCTACCGGTATTTTAACTATCCCGACCGCAAATTATCCAGCTAATTCAAGTCTTCATCAGCCTGCAGTTAGAATTAGCTGGATATTTGGTCGAGATAATCATCCAAAGATATCTTGGGCTAGTTTTCCAAAATATCCCTCTATACATGTATGTCTGGTGCGTTTTCACCAGCCCGAACGCTGAGCAAAATATCTAGAGCTCGAGTTTACAAGTTTCGAGGTCGAGTCTCGAGCTGATGGAAATAAGATTTGTAACTTTGAGCTTATTTCCCAAATCAGAAATAGCGGGCTATTTGGCAATCTCGAGCTGATGGAGACATACCTACATTGTACTGCTATAGGTAACGTACAGGTCACTCCCCATATCTCAAGTAATCTATAAGCCAATATTTTTTCTGTGTAGGATTTACAATGTAAGGACAAATTTGCAAGCTGTTAAATTCATATAAAGCTATTACAACTACCAATTATATACTTTTCAATAATTATTCTATTTTCGTCGATCATGAACTTGGTATCACAGAAATAAATGAAAATGAT